TGAATTACTTTACGAAGTGGACCAAAGCTTACCCAGTTTCAGCTGTCACGACAGCTGAAGTTCTATTACAGAATTGGGTGTCCAGATTTGGGACCCCTCCTCCAGATTCATTCCGACCAAGGCAGGAACTTCACTTCAGCTGTGTTCAAGGGACTCTGCGACTTGTTGTTGGAACTCAAGAAAACGCAGACGACCCCCGCTACAATCCAGTCTGATGGCATGGTGGAGAGGTTTAACCGTACAATCCTGAACCACCTTTCGCTCATGGTTTCCAAAAACAAAGATTGGGATCGCAAGCTGCCCTGTTCCTGCTTGCTTACCGTAGTGCCGTCCTCGAATACACCGACTATTCTCCATCACAGATGCTCTTCGGTCGCGATCTCCGTCTGCCAAGTAACCTGCTCTTCGGCCGCCCTCTGAATGTACATTCCTCGCCTGAGGAGTATGTGCAAGACCTCCAGGCCCGGTTGGAAACAGTACTTAGGTATGCTCGAGAGCGGATCAACATCTCGACGGACAAGATGAAGAAAGAGATACGACGCAGGAGCCATCAAACATCAATTACAGGAAAACGACGAGGTTTTGCTGTCCCATACTATGGCCATAGTACTTAGTGCTTCTCATTCTTAGGGCTACCCATAATTCTTGTGCATGAGCTTTCTTACCTAGTTTCTGTGTAAAGTTTGTAATGTAGTGTAAATGTTTTTTCTTTAGTTATGTTATTTTTTTGTTTGTATCGAATTAGGCTTCTGACCAAGGGTTGTGCTGCCCGGGACATACAGTCCTTGGGAGGGGGTAGTGTTACGAAATGTACAGGAGCGGTAAGATGGCTTCCCCGCAAAGCAGTTTTAGGGCATCCATAAAATGGCAAGGGAAGGCAGGGTTGCCACATTTGGCAAGAAATCGCCAATTTGGCAACAAAATTTCTGATATCTCATGGACGGATGAAGAACCTTCTGGAACGAATTCTTACCGGTTTAGCCCAGAACGTTCTCGAACACAAGCCGAAAGCTGTATAAACCCTGCTGGTCCGCAGTCAGTTAGTGTGTTTCTTGTCTAGCGAGCCGATAGTCAGTCAGTGAGCGAATTTCTCGAAGTCTAGCGCCGAGTTGGTCGTCGCGTGTATCGAGAGAGTCTTGTAGAGTATCGTGAATTAGTGCATCGTCGAGTTTTGTCTTAGACTGTGCTGAGTCGAGAGCTATACTCTTGTGTATCGTCGAGTGCGTCGTGAGTTGTAGTGTGGAGAGTCTCGAGAGTACGTGGAGTTCCGAGTACGACCAAGCAGAGTCGGAAGCTGTACTCTGGTGCTTTGCAGTGAAGCTGTTTCCACCGTTATTACCTGACAGTGTAAAGCTGAGTCGCTGAACGTGTCAGCGTGTTTATAACAGTTCGACGACTATAAAAGTGATTTTGGAGCTATCAGATTAATATTGGTAAATAATGTGTGTTTCGATACTTCATCAGGTTTTGTCGTCATTCACTGGAAATCCATATGCACCCCTTACGAACGTAACAACTGGTGTCAGAAGTGGCGTTTGAGGGTGAATGCCAGTGACAAGAGCGATGGAAGAACAATTAAGACAGCTCGTGACTGCCTTTGCTGCATTTCAAGAAAAGACGGAAGCTGGACAGAAAAAGATGGAAGCGGGACAGGAACAGATGAAAACTGAAATGAAAGAGATGAAAGCTAGACAGGAAGAGATGAAAGCTGCAATGAAAGAGATGGAAGCCGGACAGGAAGAGATGAAAGTCGGACAGGAGGAGACAAAGGCTGAGATCAAGAGCGAAATAAAAGCCATTCAAGAAAAGATGCAAGAGAAAGTCGAACAGATGGAAGTGGAAGAAGAAAAGATTAAAAGCGAGATCGTGGAGCTTAGAGAGGATACCGGAGCAAAAATAGCAGTTGTGGAAAAACGATTTGAAGAAAAATTGAGTGAATTTCGGAAAGAAGTAGATGTTTCGAAAGAAAACCGGACTGAGCCCAAGGACGAAGCTGAAGATTTCAAGGTTCTCCCAGTGTACTCTCATATGGTAATCAAACCAAGCACATACGATGGAAAATCCTCATTTAGTGTATATAAGACCCAGTTTTCCATCGTGGAGGAAAATAACAAGTGGGACTCTCACATGAAGGCTTCGCAGTTGGCTGCGTCCCTCCGAGGAGAGGCTGCAGACATCTTAGGGGTCCCCTCCGAAGACCAGATTTCAAACTTCAATACCCTCTCGAATGCGCTGGAAATGAGATTCGGGGAATGTGTGCAAAGGACTGTGACCGTCTGCAGTTGAAATCTTTCCAGAAGAAAATCACGGAAAGCCTTCAAGAACTGTCGACTGACATCGAGAGGTTGGCGCATCAAGCATATCCGGACTGTCCACCTGATGTCAGAGAAAATCTGGCCTTGATGCATTTCGTCTATGCCGTTAAGGATGCGGAAATTCAGAAAGCTCTCAGATTAGCGGATCTGAAAGACCTGAAATCTGCCCTAGTCTACGCTATGAAGTTCGAGTCAGCTCAACAAGCGACTCGAAGAGATCGCCATCCTGTTAGAGCGGCTCAAATACAATATCCAAATTTTGATGTCTCGAAACTAAAAAAAGAAATAAGAGAGATTCGGAAGGCGTTAAGAAAACCTAATAAAAACAATACTGGGAAGAAAATCCTCAAGTGCTGGAACTGCGGATTGGAAGGACATCTCAGCAGGAACTGTCACGTGAATCATGAATGGGAGAGAGCTCCCGCGAAACAAAACCAGGAAACTAAAGTATGGCAATCTCACGGGGCGGAGATTGCCCGGCAAAGATGCAGCCCCTCTGAAAGTTCTTAATCTCTTCAATGAGCGGCGGAGATAACGGACTGTTCGTCGAAGGATACGTGAATAAGCATCCTTGTAAAATAATCGTAGATACGGGAGCAAATGTAACCATCGTGAGAACAGATGTAGTTCGAAAATTGAGCGAAGCGTTTCGCTGGACTCCGCTTTCTGTGACTTTACAAACAGTGACAGGTGATAAGATTCCCATTGAAGGTAAAATTAACATTATCATTACCTTCGGAATTGAGACCTACCAGCACTTAGCTTTCGTCGCTAACATTGCGAACGAATTAATACTCGGACTGGACTTTTTGCAGAAGTACGACTTTACATTGGACTTTGAACGTAACGAAATGCGCTCTGCAAAAGAAGATATAACTGTGTTTGTGAACGGCAGCATTCCCTCAGCTCACCAAGTAACAACAAAAACAGATGTCACCATCCCTCCGATGACAGAATTATTAATAGCCGGCTCCATAGAAAGGAATAGCTTCAGATTTGGACTAATTGAATACCCTGAAAATAGCCCAAGAGAGGTATTAGTGGCCTTCTCATTAGTAGATCTTTCGAAAAATTTCATCCCTGTGAGAGTGGCGAATGTTAGTCCCAGACTGAGAAACATCAAGAAGGGTGAAGTGCTAGCAGCATGCACTCCAGTTACTTGCGTTTACAAAGCCCCATTTGAAATTCCGATTGAGGCAACTAGGAAATTAATGGAAGAACTTCTGCAGAGTGCAAATTTAACCCATGAACAAAGACGTGCGGCAGAGAAAACAATTAAAAAATTTGAAGATCTATTTTCTAGGTCATCCAGAGATGTTGGCCGCGCAAAACTGACTCGACATCGAATTGATACGGGGATCACTCTCGATAAAGCAGCATCCCAGACTTTTACCATTCGCAAAACAGGAAGAGGTTGGAAATCTTCTGAAGGAGATGCAAGAAAATGAAATCATCGTACCATCCACAAGTCCATGGGCATCTCCTATAGTTCTCGTCCGGAAGAAAGATGGCTGGACAAGATTTTGTGTCGACTACCGGAGACTAAATAATGTCACTAAGAAAGACAGTTACCCTCTTCCCCCGGACTGACGATACTCTAGACACCTTATCAGAACACAAGTGGTTTTCCACTCTGGACCTCAAGAGTGGATACTGGCAAGTGGAAATTCATCCCGAAGTTAGAGAGGAAACTGCGTTCACTACCGGTCAAGGATTCTGGGAGTTTAAAGTTATGCCCTTTGGACTCTGTGACGCACTTGCAACATTTTAACACCTGATGGAGACAGTGCTTCGTGGTCTATCTTACGAATCCTGTGTGGTCTACCTAGACGACATCATTATAGTGGGCCGTACTTTTGAGGAAGTCCTGTGGATATTCTTCAACTACTTCTGGGACTCTGTACTTATAACAGAAGATTCGTGAAGGGGTTCTCCAACATCGCAAGGCCTCTGTATAAATTAACAGAAAGTAAACAAAAATTCGTGTGGACTGAGGAGTGCGAGAAGTCCTTTAATCAGTTGAAGAGGGCATTAACATCTACGCCCGTGCTCGCATATCCCCAGGCAGACAAAGAATTTATGTTGGACACAGATGCAAGCAGCGAAAGTATGGGAGCTGTCCTTTCTATTAATTAATGGTAATGATTAATGGTCAAGAGCGAGTATTAGCCTATTGGAGTAAGTGCTTGTCCAAACCGGAAAGGAATTATTGCGTCACCCGAAAAAATTGCTTGCTTCGTAAAGGCCATAGAACATTTCCATCATTATCTCTCTGGCAGAAAATTCTTATTGCGGACCGACCATGCTTCTCTAACCTGGCTACTGAATTTCAAAAATCCCGAAGGACAAATAGCCAGATGGATTCAAAGACTCTAGGAATATGACTTTGAGATAAAACATCGTAAAGGCTCTTCCCACGGAAATGCGGATGCTTTATCTAGGAAGCCTTGTCTTGCACACTGCAGGCATTGTTCAAGAGCACACTGCAGGCATTGTAGGCTAAGTACGGGTTGGCGAATCCGAATATCCGGCAAGTAACATCTTCAACATCAACTGATCCAGATCCGTGGAGTGATGAAAAAGTTAGAGAAGACCAATCATCGAATCCTGACATTAGGCCAATAATAGAACTGAAGAACCAGTACAAAACCCAAGTGGCAGAATATTTCTATTTTCAGTCCTGCAATTAAAAGGTACTGGGCTCTCTGGGATTCACTCCACTTCCGAAATGGAGTCTTATATCGATATAAGACTATAAGTCTTATATCGATATAAGACTCCATTTCGGAAGCGACGATGGAACTAATAAGAGATGGCAGCTGTTGCTTCCTCGAAACCGAATACCTGATGTTCCTGAAGGAGATACACAGCAGCTCACCAGGAGGGCATTTCGGCTGTATGAAGACACTAAACAAGGTCTGAGAGAGCTTCTTCTAGAGTTCGGCGAGAAACAATGTTGAGAAGTGGTGCCGATCTTGTGATGCTTGCGGAGCCAGGAAAGGATCGAAGGGACGTAGCCTAGGAAGGCTGCAGCGATACAATGTAGGAGCGCCTTTCGGGCGAATTGCCCTCGACATACTTGGACCTTTTCCTCCAACCACGGATGGCAACAAATACATCCTCGTTGTCATGAATTACTTTACGAAGTGGACCAAAGCTTACCCAGTTTCAGCTGTCACGACAGCTGAAGTTCTATTACAGAATTGGGTGTCCAGATTTGGGACCCCTCCTCCAGATTCATTCCGACCAAGGCAGGAACTTCACTTCAGCTGTGTTCAAGGGACTCTGCGACTTGTTGGAACTCAAGAAAACGCAGACGACCCCCGCTACATCCAGTCTGATGGCATGGTGGAGAGGTTTAACCGTACAATCCTGAACCACCTTTCGCTCATGGTTTCCAAAAACAAAGATTGGGATCGCAAGCTGCCCTGTTCCTGCTTGCTTACCGTAGTGCCGTCCTCGAATACACCGACTATTCTCCATCACAGATGCTCTTCGGTCGCGATCTCCGTCTGCCAAGTAACCTGCTCTTCGGCGCCCTCTGAATGTACATTCCTCGCCTGAGGAGTATGTGCAAGACCTCCAGGCCCGGTTGGAAACAGTACTTAGGTATGCTCGAGAGCGGATCAACATCTCGACGGACAAGATGAAGAAGAGATACGACGCAGGAGCCATCAAACATCAATTACAGGAAAACGACGAGGTTTTGCTGTCCCATACTATGGCCATAGTACTTAGTGCTTCTCATTCTTAGAACTACCCATAATTCTTGTGCATGAGCTTTCTTACCTAGTTTCTGTGTAAAGTTTGTAATGTAGTGTAAATGTTTTTTTTCTTTAGTTATGTTATTTTTTTGTTTGTATCGAATTAGGCTTCTGACCAAGGGTTGTGCTGCCCGGGACATACAGTCCTTGGGAGGGGGTAGTGTTACGAAATGTACAGGAGCGGTAAGATGGCTTCCCCGCAAAGCAGTTTTAGGGCATCCATAAAATGGCAAGGGAAAGCAGGATTGCCACATTTGGCAAGAAATCGCCAATTTGGCAACAAAATTTCTGATATCTCATGGACGGATGAAGAACCTTCTGGAACGAATTCTTACCGGTTTAGCCCAGAACGTTCTCGAACACAAGCCGAAAGCTGTATAAACCCTGCTGGTCCGCAGTCAGTTAGTGTGTTTCTTGTCTAGCGAGCCGATAGTCAGTCAGTGAGCGAATTTCTCGAAGTCTAGCGCCGAGTTGGTCGTCGCGTGTATCGAGAGAGTCTTGTAGAGTATCGTGAATTAGTGCATCGTCGAGTTTTGTCTTAGACTGTGCTGAGTCGGGAGCTATACTCTTGTGTATCGTCGAGTGCATCGCGAGGTGTAGCGTGGAGAGTGTCGAGAGTTCGTTGAGTTCCGAGAACGACCAAGCAGTGTCGGGAGCTGTACTCTGGTACTTTGCAATGAAGCTGTGTCCACCGTTATTACCTGATAGTATGAAGGCTGTGTCGCTGAACGTGTCAGCGTGTTTATAACAGTTCGGACTGTAAAAGTGATTTTGGAGCTATCTGATTAATAGTGGTAAATAAAGTGTGTTTCGATACTTCATCAAATGTCGTCGTTATTCACTGCAAATCCGTACGAACCCCTTACGAACGTAACAATATTAACCATTACTTATTACCAATTTATCAACCACTTCTTATTAACTATTACTACTTATTAACCATAATAAATAGATATTTTGCATCTATATGCTATAGAATTCCCCATACATTTGTCCCTATACTTTTATTTAGCCGAAGGGTTCTTTTCTATAAGCAAATCTAAAACCTATTTACCAGAATACGTTTCTCGTATTCCGTTAAACATCAATTATATTAGAAAATCTTGTTAGATTTGGAAATACCGGGTATTACGAGTCAGTTTAATGGGTATAATTATTTAACTGAGCGATTTAGTTTTTGAAAGAAAGTCTATTATAAAATCTGTCTACATGTATAAGGTAGCAATTTCACAGAAATGTTTTTAAAATTCCTTAAATAATATCGGCAAGCTGGTTCTTGAATAATTTGTAATTCTTCGAATATGAATCTTATGTTCAATCTTTTGATGCACTATATTGCACTTCACGCATTGTTAATATTAACATCAGTCCCTGCTGTTTTGAAATGTCTGCTTTTGAAGCTATTGATCACAAATTCTCACATATATCTAAATTTCTTATATCACGCAATCTTAGTCCACTCTTTTCCTCTTGGCATTCTCGACATATATCGCTTTTTTTAAGTCTTCTAATATTTCACTGTTGTTTTAAAATATCAGTGATGTAAAATTTAATGTTAATATACTGGCTTAAAATTCTATAACCCATTCCTAAGCCAAAATGCATATTTATTTTCTCTCCGATAAGTAACTGGTCCTTCCAATGACGTTTATACATGTATTTAACTCCTTTATGTTCGAATACAATATTCACATGACTTCCATACAAGTATACATTAGGGACTCTAGGCGGCCATTCCTCGAATTTAGTTGTCGCATAGTGTACACATCACACTTTTAGGTACTTTAGGTTAGGAAATAATATTTTTTTTTTTTTTACTTTGGAATGAAGGAAGAAGTGACTACTTATTATAATGTAATTTTCGACATTAGGCTGCGCATATATGGCTTGAGATTTTGAGAAGAGCATTTTAAATGAGTAAATATCTCTTTATATTTAGACAAATACGATATATTCCTTTAATATTATGTTTATCGAAATAAAATTTGATAAATAAATTAATAAAATTCCCTTACTTGCACTAATACACAGTTGGCTTATTGAAAAAGGGCAAAAGAATTATCCAAATTCTTCAAGTAATCCCATGATGCCGTGACCCCCCTGAATCCCCATATTTGTAATGCGTGGTATTGTACCCGTATTTGTTTATTTGTAAGTTAAGGTATTTGTAATTCTAATTATATACATGCAGAATTATCCGAATCTCCTATAATTGATGATGAGTTATAAAACAGACAAACATAGATATGTGTCATCGGCATATTACAGCTTTTTTAGTTCATAAACGCTTTGTCAGAAATTTTCAACTTCACTGAACACGTTGAAAATATCTAGACGTTTCTATGCATTTGGATTAAATGTGATTGAAAAAATCCTTTTCTCTATTGATTAGCAAGAAGACAGTACGTTGCAGTCATGATGATGGCGGGATGGATGGGGATTACTGCACAGCAGGGAACAATGACTTTACAAATGCTCTTTAAGAATTCCAAACCTTAAAATACATTACAAAACAATTTTTTTTATCTTGTTAACATTTTTTTTTTACTTTAATTTGCAGCAAAGTAATCACATTGAAATGTAACTACGAATACGCACTTATTTACCCTTAAAACTAGATAGTTCTTAATTCTTTAATAAATAATAATATACTGCAAAAATAAATACGAACCTGTATTTTTTTC